AGGAGAGGGCTTCGCTTTCCCAGGTCACCAAGGAACAACAAGAGAACTCTGGGGCCTTGGTCCCAGAGAACACCCAGGGGGGCATCCCTCCCAGGAATACTTGGGGCAAAAGAAGGGCAAGGCCTCCAGAGGATCAGACAGAGAAAGGGCTGCTCGGGGAAGGTCCCTGTCCCCAAGCCCCTTTGACCATGAGGGACCGTCATCACCCTCCAGGCAGCCCTCCAGAGCTTCTTCATTTTCCACAACTGACTGAGGGCAAAGGGCTCCCTACCCCACTCCTAGCCGAAGGACCCCATGTGTCCAGTGAGTCCCACAGCAACCGTCAGTGACTGCACCTGAAGTCTGAGTTGGTGAGACCTCCTTCCAGCTTAAGGCACAAAATTGGACTGAGAACCCCACCTCCCCACCACCCGTAGGGGCTCTATTTTAGTGGCTCTTCCAGGGCCAAGATCTGCCCCACTGAAGTCCAGAACTCCAGGAAGATTTGAAATCCAGGACAGGGGGGCCGCAGAGCTCAGGGCTTGAGCCCAGCACAGCACATGGCAGGCCTGAGAGCACATCCCAGGGTCACATCTAGGTCCTCGGGCCAGTATCTGCTTCTCTGACTCTAGACAGCTCATCTGTCAAATGGGTACATTTGTGGACAGCACCCACCCCACAAAGCTGCTGTGAGGATGAAGGGAACACTATCCACCAGGTCAGTGCAGAACGGGCACCCGGTGAGTGCTCAGGGATGACCCTCCTCCGCTCCTGCCTGGAGGCCAGCACTGCCCACCCGGTGGCGACTGTCCCAGGTCGGCAGGGAGGGAACAGAGCAGGTCACGCTCATCTGAGTCTGCTGATCCAGCTGTGCCTCTCACTTAGGAAAGCCTCCTCTGTGCAGAACCACACACTGCTGTGTGTCTTGTCTCAAAGAGCTCCAGACACAGAGAGGGCAGGCGGGCAGGCGGGTGGGTACCCAGCACCAGGGACACTGTGGGGTCATGGCACCCATTACAGTGGGCCCCTGCCTGGGTCAGCAGGGCCCAGAGTCAGCGCCCTCCAGCCCCTGAAGTGTCAACATGCGTGTGTGCGGTGTGTTTGTGCAGGTGAGTGTGTGCATGTATGTGAGTGCCCTGATGCATACATGCATGTGTCACTGCTCTGGCCAGGCCTGGGCATGTGTACCCAGGTCCTTGTCACTGTCGCCACCCCTGGGACCCATAGCCAGCATCAGAACATCTATGTGTGCTCCCCACTCTCAGACCTCCCCATCTGGGCCAGTCCTGGGGATGCAGACGGGGAGGTGAGCGGCTGACAGTTGAAGGCTGGGGTTTAGGGAAGAGGGCCGCGGTGCCCCTTCCTTAGCAGGGACTCAGCTAGGGTGTAACAGGTAGGTCTGTGTGGCAGAGCTGGATCCCACACACCTCCTCACTCCTCCTCCCAGTAACCCTCTTCCTCCCCTGCTGTGGACGGAGGAAAGGAGGCTCCAAGGACAAACCCCTGCCTAAGGTCACCTAGTGGCCAGCTGGCCAGGCCCCTCTAGCCAGGCCTGCACTGACCAGGTTTGCTGTGTCTGAGCCCCAGAGTTCAACTCTTTGCAGACCAGACCCCCACCAATCAGACCCCTGAGGCGCGGCGCTCAAAGTGCCCTACCAATGGCCCCCTCAGTCCACAGACCCGTCCCTCCCTCATCAGGACCCACAGGCATTTGAGAGTCTTCTCGGGAATGGACCCCCACTCCAGGACACGGGGAGAGGCAGTTGGCCCCAGGCTCTGGTGGCTAGCTTCACACTAACCCCACAAGGTCCTCTGGGCCCATCACAAAGCGGGCAGTGATGTAGCCTGGCACACCTGGACACACTGCCTGGGCCTGTTCCTGAGCCACACAGCCAGAGGAACAGGAGGAGGTTTGTCAGGCCAGGCACCCCGCTCTGCTGGGTCTCCCAGGGTCCTTCCCACGGAGGCTGGATCTAGAGACAGAGCACAGAGGCCCCAGGGTGACCGGCCCAGAACTCTCAAGACTGGGTGGGGGACCACACGAGGGCTGTCCATAGACAGCCCGAAGACCCTCTGCTAGTTTCTTGGTTCCTCATTTCTCACCAGCCACCCTCCCCCACCAGGAATCCCCTTCGTTCGGATCCAATGAGAAGAGGAAGATGGTCACAGGATCCGTGGAGAGAAAGAAAAACAAAGATGGGTGGGGGAAGAGTTGGGAGGGCAGTGTTGTAAGGTTCCTACACTATGCGTGTTGAGAGTTGGCTGTGATCAATTGAAGGTGTATCTTGTAGACAACCCACACACACTACACACACACATACACACACACACACGTGTGCACACAGAGAAAGAGACAGGGTCTTACTCTGTCACCTGGGCTGAAGTGCAGTGGCCTAATCACAGCTCACTGCAGCCCTGACTTCTCAGGCTCAAGCGATTCTCCCACTTCAGCCTCCTGAGTAGCTGGGACTACATGTGTGGGCCCCCATGCCTGGTTGCTTTTGAAATGGTTTCTTGTAGAGAAGGGATGTTGCTAGGCCAGGAGGTCCAGGCTGGTCTGGACCTCCGGGCCCCAAGCAATCCTCCAGCCTCGGCCTCTTAGTGTTAGGATTACAGGCATGAGCCACTGCACTCAGCTTACGCGTGTTTTTAAGAGGCATAAATACTAAGGCCAGTGTTGCCATGAAGTCAGGCAGGGGATGGGAACCTGTGGCCCACAATCCAGCGGCAGCCCCCTCCTTGCGGTGAATAAAGGTTTATTGGAGCCGCAGTTCCTCCCGTGTTCATTTCTCGTCTGTGGCTGCCTTGGGGCTGCGGCGGCAGAGCTGAGGAGTTGTTGAGTAAGTGCAACAAAGACCACCGGGTCTGCCAAGCCCAAGGTGCTTACTACCAGATCCTTTGCAGAAAAATCTTGCTGAGCCCTGGGAGGCGGCCAGGGGGCAGCGGGGAGGCCAGTGGGGAGGCTGGTACAGTAATCCAGGTGAGAAATGGGAACTCAGATTAAAGAGGGTATGACAAGTGGCTGGAATCAGGATATATTTTGAGGCTAGGGCCAATGGTACATGGATAAAGTGGACAGTATTTAGAGTTTCAAATTTTCTTTCTACCAAAGATCCCTCTCTAGAAAAAAAAAGTACAAAAGATCAATTAAAAAAACTGACAAAGAAACACCACGAGATTATTTGTGCGGTTGAAGCTGGGGTTGAGCCTGGGCACCCTGTGTTTTCAGCACCCCTAACACACCGGCTATTCCAGAGGTACCCTACAGAGCCCCTTTGGTTCAGACAAGCAGATATTGAAACCACAGATCGGAAGGAATATAAATCTGTACCTTACCCACAAGCTGTAACATTCTAAGCCACATCTTTGCTGCACACTGACGTAGGGCTGCTTCACCCACAGCCAGCAAGCGTCTGCACCAGTGCCAGGGTTCATGTCTGCCTTGTTACAAAAAGGCAGCTGTGTGCATGAGGCATGGCGGTGAGAAAATGCCACCTGGTCTCATCATTGGCTGTGTGGACTGGCGGGACCAGGGACCCGATGCATGTCTTGGACAGACACTCTTTAGATGCCAGCTTGCCTGTAGAAAACAATGACTCAGAGGTGGCCTTGGGGAAGGCCTGTGTGATGGGTTGAGTTTGTCCCCCAAAATTCCCATGTTGATGTCCTAAGCCCCAGTGCTTGAGAATGTGATCTTGAAATAAATTAACAATGAAAAACAAGGTCAGTAGGGGGTGCCCAATTCAATATGACTGGTGTCCTTATGAAAAGGGGAAATTTAGACAGAGTGAAGAGACACAGGAAGGCCACCTACATGCCCAGAGAGAGGCCTGAAACAGAGCCTTCCCGCACTGCCCTGGAAAGGGACCTCTCCTGCCAACACCTTGATCTTGAACTTACAGCCTCCAGGACTGTGAGACAGTGAGTTTCTGTTGCTGAAGCTGCCCAGTCTGTGGTACTTTAAGGCAGCCCTAGCGGTCCAACACAGCCTGGTAGCCCACGGATGGTGGAAAGACAGGATGAGCGATGGAGCCCCTGGCTTCCTGTTTATACCTCCTGAAGTGCGGTGTGGGATTGTTTGGTAGGTATAGGTATGCAAGGTAATTTTGGGGGGTGCAGGGTGCATAATTTCAGTGTACATTATTATGGATTTATCTTACTGTGAAAATGCTTCTAAGAATAGTGAAAGAACTTACGGCTTACATGCTACTCAAGATACCGCTGTAAATGCTAATAAAAAGTGGATGCAAATGAAAACATTCTCTTGCTGTGGTCCAGGGAATTTCAATCTTTTTTGCAGCTTTGAGCTAGAGCTGCCCTCCCTTTCCATCCACTGCACACCCCCATAACACACACACATGTACCTACACACGTGCACAGACACACACATGCACACACACACACAAATGCATACACACACATACAAATGCATGCACACACATGTACGTACACACACGCTGTGCTTCACGCCTTCACTACGGAGGCACTGAAGGGAATGTGTGTCTGTGAGGAGATGAAGACAGCTGAAGCCTCTGGTTCCCTGGTGTTTGCACAGGCGCCCGCCCCGCAGACCATTCTTTGGTCTCCTTCTCCGTCTTAGAGAAAGAGAGAAGCAGAGCCCCAGTGGGAACCCGGCTGCTTAGGGCCCAACCCAAGGTCACAAGCTTCCTCGGGAGCCTGGTGAGATGGGGACACCACAGGTCCTCCCGGACCCAGCGGGCAGTGTTTGGTGGAGACCTGAGCCCAGGAAGGGGATAGGCGGGACGTCTCCGTTCATTAGACACAACCAAAACCCAGGGAGGAAGGGCAGCTGTCACAGGTTTTATTCTCCAGGAGGAGGGGCTCTTGGGGGCTGTGAGCAGCAGGCACCAGGACTTTATCACATGTGGTCAGGTGATGGCGACCTACAGCTGCACTGGAAACTGGGACCCAGAGCGCCCGACCTCCTGCTGTCTCTCTCTCCCTCTCTGCCTCTCTCCCTCTCTGTCTCTCTGTCTCTCTCTTTGCCTCCTCTGCGTCTCTCCGTATCTCTCTCCCTAGCTCTCTCCCCTCTCCTCACCTCTCTTTCTCTCTCTCCCTCTCTCCATCTGTCTCCCTCATCCTTTCCCTTTAAGCCCCCCATTTATGCACATGGGCCCCCCTCCTGGGCAGGCACACACACGATGCCAAGACGGCCGTCTGGGATACGCGGGCAGGCCTGCAGAACTGTGGTCCTGGCGTGGCATACCCACCCTCCAGTGCAAGTGGGGTCGGGGCCCTCAGGTGTGACCGTGCTCTCCTGGGTGGGCACCCTGCACTCGGGGAAGCAGAAGTTGCAAGTCTCCACTGGCTCGGGGGATGTGCCCACGTGGCTGCTGGCTTCCATTGCGTGATCTGCAGAGGCGAGAGTGGAGGGTGTGGGCCAGGTCTGGCCCTGCACTGGGGTAGGGGTGACAGTGTGGGCAGCTGCACTCTCCCTGGCCCAGGAACTGAGGGCAATCACCCACCAGCCTAGGATGCCCCCAGGCCAGTGTCTGTGTCCCCCAGTTGCTGACCAGAACCTGTGCTGGGGCAGGGGTGGGCAGGCAAATCTTGGCTCTCACTTCTACCCAGCCCCAAGCCTGCCATGCCACCAAGGGGATGCTCCTCCCTTGCTTAGCTCTGACGGCCCTACATCCTGAGGACCCTAGGCCCAGGCAAGCCTGAAGGCTGGCACCCCCCACCCACCCTTCCTGGGTGCCACTCTCCCAGGTATCTGCCTTCCACGATGTCTTAACCTGATCTTATCAAGCTACAGCAGGTAACAGGGATGAGCCCCAGGCCTCTCTGCCTAGAAGCAGGGGCAGTGATAGGACTGAAGGGTGGCCCGAGGCTCATCACCCAAGCAGTGAGAAGGGCGAGGACCCCAGTTCCATCCACTCACCCTGGGAAGACTTGGCCGGACTTTGACAGGGCCTTGTGTGGGGCTGGCAGCAGCAGGGATCCCCCTTCTTCTTGAAGAAGCAGGCCACCGCCACCAGGAAGCAGCAGACGACGGCACACAGGCAGAGCCCCAGCGTGCTGTAGACCAGGGCCAGCTGATCCGCACTCAGCTTCTGCCCTGGGAGAGCTGCAAGACAGCGGGAGACCCCTCTGCAGTGCCTTCTCCTCTTCCCCTCATTAGGCTCCCGCAATCCACATGCATCTGACCCACCCTGCTGCTGGCCTGTCTGGCTCCCAGAGAGGCTGGGCTCCTCTCCCGACCCTGAGGCTGCTGGGATGCTCTCTGGATCCTGGAGGAAGTTGATCCACTCCTCCATCCTGGTAGCAGCTTCCCAAGACCTCGAAGCTGGAAACATGATCTGGGCCTTCTTGTCTCCACTTGCTAAGGCTGTAACTGGGACAGCACCGGAGATGGGCTGATGGGTGAACAGATGAATGGATGGCGCTGCAGGGAGCATGTCCCGGTGCATCCTGACCTGGACCCTTCCTCCAGGGAGAAGCCTTCCTGGGTGAGGGTTTAGAGCTGTCCCTTGGTATAGTATCCATGGGGTTTGGTTCCAGGATCCCGCACAGATACCAGAATCCACAGATGCCCGAGTGCCTGATATACGATGGCCTCTTATTTGCATATAACCTATACGCATCCTCTTGTACAATTAGATTCATCTCTAGATTACTTACAATACCAAATACAATATAGATGCCATGTAAATGGGTGCTATATTGTGTTGTTTAGGGAATAAGGACAAGAAAAAATGGCTGCAGAGTCAGTATAGATGCAACTATCCATTTTCTTTCCTGAGTATTTTCCAGCCACTGTTGGTGGACTGCTGATGAGACAGGGCTTCTGTTTGGTAATAAAAATGGTCTTGGGCTGGGCGCGGTGGCTCACACCTATAATCCTAGCACTTTGGGAGGCCGAGGCGGGCAGATCACAAGGTCAGGAGATCAAGACCATCCTGGCTAACACAGTAAAACCCTGTCTCTACTAAAAATACAAAAGATTAGCCGGGCATGGTGGCAGGCACCTGTAGTCCCAGCTACTCAGGAGACTGGGGTAGGAGAATCTCTTGAACCCAGGAGGCGGAGGTTACAGTGAGCCAAGATCACACCACTGCACTCTAGCCTGGGCAACAGAGTGAGACTCTGTCTCAAAAAAAAAAAAAATAAAAAAAAAAGATCTCAGATAGTGGCTGTGGCTGCATAACCTTATGATGTGCTAAAAACCACTGGGTGTACACATCACAATGGCAAATTTGATGGTATACAAATTCGGCCTTGATCTTTTAAATGGGGTGAATTGTCCTTCAAGAGAGCAGGAGGATTAAGGGGGATGCTGTGGCGAAAGTGTCCAACACAAAGTGGGACTCATTCTTCTAGACACGTTGTCTTAAACCTGGCTCATCTGTCCTTCCACCCAGAGCCTGGAGGATGCCTAACTCCAGGGACAGGGAAAAGCTTGGTATAAGGAGAACTTCCAAGGGGGGGGCTTTTGCCTGGACTGAGTCTGTCTCTGGCATCCAAACCTGGTGGCATAAGTCCTGAGTCACAGGGCATCCAGGTGCCCTGCTGCCCAAGGCCCTCCTGGTTGGCACCTGCTGTCCTGGTCTCAGTGTAACATCACCTGTTCTACTCTCAAACCATAGTGGCCCCTCTGTGTCCATGACACTGCTGTGAACATTCACATCCACGTGTTTGAGTGGATGGATGTTTTCCGTTTTCTTGGGTGGATAGCTAGGAGAAAGAATGGCTGAGTCACATGATTGATGAGAACAAAACTTGATGTGTGTGATGAATTACTTTGTTTACCGAGAAACGATGGTAAGGAGCACCGAGCTGTCCCCAGGTGGAAAACTGCTCAGGGCCTTCTATAATAAGTAAACAATGTAAAGATGTCATGCAATAGTTAAACTAATTTTTTTTTTTTTTATAGGATCACTCCTGTATAGGGTGTCTGACAACCCATGTTGGAGGGTCTCATCCAGTTGGGTGGCAGAGGGAACAGGACTCGTTTAATGAACTTTGACTATCTCTTAGTGGAGTGGGTGTGCTTCGCTAGGGGGAAATCCACTTGTTTGGGCTGCCTGGATTCTTCAGAACTACCAGGAGGAAAGGCTAAGTGTGCTGGTCTACAGAAACTGTGGCCACTGTCCCCCTAGGGGCTCTGGCCCAGGGAGATCAGGTTCTGTCCCTGAGCCTCTGACTGTAGTTGTTGGATTTCCTTTTTCTTTTATTTTTAGAAAGAAAAAAGAATAATAAGAAAAAGAATAAAGAAGAGGAAGAAAGAGAAAGAGGAAGAGGGAGAGAGAATGGGGGTATTGCTTTGTTGCCTGGGCTAGAATGCAGTCTAAATATGGGTATGCCTATAATTGTCCTTAATAATGGAGACATGAAAGAAAATGAGGGAAGAGAATAACAAACAAGGAGGCAACCAACATTTCGTTTAAACTTCTAAGTTGATATGATGTGGTACTGATAAGAGTGTATATTTTGTGTAAAGTGGAGAGTTCTATAAATGTTAATTACGTTTACTTGTTCCAGATCTGAGTTCAAGTCCTGGATATTGTTGTTAATTTTCTGTTGCATTGATCTGTCTGATATTAATGTTGAAGTCTCCCACTATTATTATGTGGGAGTCTAAGTCTCTTTATAAGTCTTGTATGTCTGTGTATTTCTGTATTGGGTGCGTATATATTTAGGATCTTTAACTCTTCTTGTTGTTGCGTTGATCCTTTTATCATTATATAATGTCCTTCTTTGCTTCTTTTGGTCTTTGTTTCTTTAAAGACTATTTTATCAGGGGCAAAAATTGTAACTTCTGCTTTTTATTTATTTATTTTTGCTCTCAGTTTGGTTGGTAAATCTTTCTCCATCCCTTGTTTTGAGTCTTTGTGTATCCTTGAACGTGAGATGGGTCTGGATGCAGCATGCCGATGGGTTTTAGTTTTTTGTCCAAATTGCCTGTCTGTCTTTGAATTGGGGAATTTAGTCAATTTAAATTTAGAATTAATAATGATATATGTGAGTTTAATACTGCCATTTAATACTAGCTGGCTATTTTGCCCATTAGTTGATGTAAATTCTTCATTATATTGATGTTCTTTACTTTTTGGTATTTTTTAGAAAGGCTGATACTGTTTGTTCCTTTCTATGTGTAGTGGTTCTTTCAGAAACTCTTGTAAAGCAGGCCTGGTGGTGATGAATTCTCTGAGTGCTTGCTTGTTCACAAAAAACTTTATTTTTCCTTCACTTATGAAGCTTAGTTTGGCTGGATGTGAAATTCTGGGTTGAAAGTTCTTTTCTTTAAGGATGTTGAATATTGGTCCCCACTCTCTTCTGGCTTGTAGGGTTTCTGCTGAGAGATCTGCTGTAAGTCTGAGAGGCTTCCCTTTGTGGGTAACCTGACCTTTCTCTCTGGCTGCCCTTAGTATTTTTCTCCTTCATTTCAACCCTGGTGAATCTGACGATTATGTGCCTTGGAGTTGCTCTTCTTGAGGAATATCTCTGTGGTGTTCTCTGTATTAACTGGAGTTGAATATTATCCTGCCTTACTAAGTTGGGAAAATTTTCCTGAATAATATCCTGAAGTGTATTTTCCAGCTTGGATTCATTCTCTTCGTCACATTCAGGTACACCTATCAAGCGTAGATTAGGTCTTTTCACATAGTCCCATATTTCTTGGAGACTTTGCTTGTTCCTTTTTATCCTTTTTTCTCTAAACTTGTCTTCTTGTTTTATTTCATTGAGTTGGTCTTCGACCTCTGATATCCTTTCTTCTGCTTGATCAATTCGACTGTTAAAACTTGTGCATACTTCACGTAGTATTGTGTCTTTCAGCTCCATCAATTCACTTATTTTCCTCTTTAAATTTTGTATTCTTGTTGACATTTCGTCAAACCTTTTTTCAAAGTTATTAGTTTCTTTAGATTGTGTTAGAACAAGTTCTTTTAATTCACAGAAGTTTCTTATTATCCACATTTTGAAGCCTGCTACTGTAATTGGAACACACTCGTTCTCCATCAAGCCTTGTTTCGTTGCTGATGAGGAACTGGGATCCCCTGCTGAGGGAGAGGCGTTCTGATCTCGGGTATTCTCAGCCTTTTTTGACTGTTTCCTTCCCTTCGTTGTAGATTTATCCATCTGTGGTCTTTATAATTACCGTCTTTGTAATTGGGTTTCTGAGTGGACGTCCAACTTATTGATTCTCAGCGCCAAAATCTGAGCAACCCACTGCGCCGACCAAATCAGCAGCATTAAGATTGATGGTGCTTTTCTGACTCTGCACCAATAACCGACGCTCCGGCAAAACCGCCTCGCCGGTCACAAGAGTCGCACTGGCGACCCGTGGGGCTCCTCCGCTGGGAATCTCCTGGTGCGTGAGCAATAAGAATTCATGTGAAGGTGTGGCGTCCTCTCGTTCTTTGCGCTTTCACTGGGAGCTACAGTCCCGAGCTGCTGGTGATCAGCCATCTTGGATCTCTCTCCAGTTAAACTAATTCTTAAAACACAGGATACATGACCCTGCCCCCATTGCTCCCTTGCAAAGAATGCTTTCTAGTTTGTTTTTAAATAGTAGTGAACAAGCACTAGCTGCCCGTCTTGTTTATCTTTATTCTATGAAAATACATAGAACACCTGCTTGTTAAAAATAATCACTTGTTCACACTTGAATAAATTCACACGTGAATAAATACGTGGGTCAGAGTCTGCTCTGGGCTCTCAGCTGGGAATGCTGTCAGTCCCCTGAGCCCACTTTGCACTCTAAACTTGTGTCTGACTCTTAATTCCTTCAGTGCCGCCTGGGTTGGGGTCTCCATGACCATGCTGGTCTCAGTAAGTGGCACCCAAACGTGAAAATCAAACCCAGGATGAAGGGTTGCCTGAGCAATGGAGAAAGGAGAAGCTAATCTAAGCTGAAGGACACCCGAGGACGCTTGAAAAAATCTCCCAGGTAAATTAGGGTGAGCTTGGAAGCATCAGGGTAACAACGGGACAAGGTTCAAGCAAACGCAAAGCTGATCTCAGCTTGCTTTATCATTTGCTTAGAAGAGGGGGAGTTGAAGTTAGTTGTAGCCGCTTAACACAGCTTTTTAATGCAGTTGAAAGATATTGCCTCTGGTTTCCTGA